CGTAAAATCATTCATTTACCTCTTCTTGATTGGTAATACGGAGATTGATTATATCATTTGGATTGATTAAATGTGACGTAAAATCATTCATTACCTTTCTTGATTGGTAATACGGAGATTGATTATATCATTTGATTGATTAAATGTGACGTAAAATCATTCATTTACCTTTCTTTGTTGGTATATACGGAGATTTGATTATATCATTTGGATTGATTAAATGTGACGTAAAATCATTCATTTACTCTTTCTTGATTGGTAATACGGAGATGATTATATCATTTGGATTGATTAAATGTGACGTAAAATCATTCATTTACCTTTCTTTTATTGGTAATACGGAATTTGATTATATCATTTGATTGATTAAATGTGACGTAAAATCATTCATTTACCTTTCTTGATTGGTAATACGGAAGTTTGATTATATCATTTGATTGATTAAATGTGACGTAAAATCATCATTTACCTTTCTTGATTGGTATATACGGAATTGATTATATCATTTGGATTGATTAAATGTGACGTAAAATCATTCATTACTCTTTTCTTGATTGGTAATACGGAGATGATATATATTTGGATTGATTAAATGTGACGTAAAATCATTCATTTACTCTTCTTGATTGGTAATACGGAGATTGATTATATCATTTGGATTGATTAAATGTGACGTAAAATCATTCATTTACCTTTCTTTGATTGGTAATACGGAGATTGATTATATCATTTGAATTGATTAAATGTGACGTAAAATCATTCATTACCTCTTCTTGATGGTATATACGGAGATTGATTTATCATATTGATTGATTAAATGTGACGTAAAATCATTCATTTACCTTTCTTGATTGTAATACGGAATTGATTATATCATTTGGATTGATTAAATGTGACGTAAAATCATTCATTTACCTTTCTTTATTGGTTATATACGGAGATTGATTATATCATTTGATTGATTAAATGTGACGTAAAATCATTCTTTACCTCTTCTTGATTGGTATATACGGAGATTGATTATATCATTTGGATTGATTAAATGTGACGTAAAATCATTCATTTACTCTTCTTTTATTGGTTATACGGAATTTGATTATATCATTTGGATTGATTAAATGTGACGTAAAATCATTCATTTACCTCTTCTTTATTGGTTTATAAATCGAGATTGATTATATTCATTTGGATTGATTAAATGTGACGTAAATCATTCATTTTACCTCTCTGATTGGTAATACGCCGGAGTTATACGCGAGATTGATTATATCATTTGGATTGATTAAATGTGACGTAAAATCATTCATTTACCTCTTTCTTGATTGGTATATACGCGAGATTGATTATATCATTTGGATTGATTAAATGTGACGTAAAATCATTCATTTACCTCTTCTTGATTGGTATATATGGAAGTTTCATTATATCAATTGGATGGATTAAATGTGACGTAAAATCATTCATTTACCTCTTCTTGATTGGTATATACGGAAGTTTGATTATATCAATTGGATTGATTAAATGTGACGTAAAATCATTCATTTACCTCTTCTTGATTGGTATATTCGGAAGTTTGATTATATCAGTTGGATTGATTAAATGTGGCGTAAAATCATTTATTTACCTCTTCTTGATTGGTATATACGGAAGTTTGATTATATCATTTGGATTGATTAAATGTGACGTAAAATCATTCATTTACCTCTTCTTCATTGGTATACACGGAAGTTTCATTATATCAGTTGAATTGATTAAATGTGACGTAAAATCATTCATTTACCTCTTCTTGATTGGTATACACGGAAGTTTCATTATATCCATTGGATTGATTAAATGTGACGTAAAGTCATTCATTTACCTCTTTCTTGATTGGTATTAACGGAAGTTTGATTATATCAGTTGGATTGATTCAATGTGACGTAAAGTCATTCATTTACCTCTTTCTTGATTGGTATATACGGAAGTTTGATTCTATCATTTGGATTGATTAACTGTGACGTAAAGTCATTCATTTACCTCTTTCTTGATTGGTATACACGGAAGTTTCATTATATCAGTTGGATCGATTAAATGTGACGTAAAATCATTCATTTACCTCTTCTTGATTGGTATACACGGAAGTTTCATTATATCAGTTGGATTGATTAAATGTGACGTAAAATCATTCATTTACCTTTTCTTGATTGGTATATACGGAAGTTTCGTTATATCAGTTGTATTGATTAAATTTGACGTAAAATCATTCATTTACCTCTTCTTGATGGGTATACACGGAAGTTTCATTATATCAGCTGGATTGACTAAATGTGACGTAAAATCATTCATTTACCTCTTTCTTGATTGTTATACACGGAAGTTTGATTATATCAGTTGAATTGGTATATACGGAAGTTTGATTATATCAGTTGGATTGATTAAATGTGACGTAAAATTATTCATTTACCTCTTCTTGATTGGTATATACGGAAGTTTGATTATATCAATTGGAGTGACTAAATGTGACGTAAAATCATTCATTTACCTCTTCTTGATTGGTATATACGGAAGTTTCATTATATCAGTTGGATTGATTAAATGTGACGTAAAATAATTCATTTACCTTTTCTTGATTGGTATATACGGAAGTTTAATTATATCAGTAGGATTGATTAAATGTGACGTAAAATCATTCATTTACCTTTTCTTGATTGGTATATACACGAGTTTGATTATATCAATTGGATTGATTAAATGTGACGTAAAATTATTCATTTACCTCTTCTTGATTGGTATATACGGAAGTTTGATTATATCAATTGGAGTGACTAAATGTGACGTAAAATCATTCATTTACCTTTTCTTGATTGGTATATACGGAAGTTTAATTATATCAGTTGGATTGATTAAATGTGACGTAAAATCATTCATTTACCTTTTCTTGATTGGTATATACGGAAGTTTGATTATATCAATTGGATTGATTAAATGTGACGTAAAATCATTCATTTACCTCTTCTTGATTGGTATACACGGAAATTTGATTATATCAATTGGATTGATTAAATGTGACGTAAAATCATTCATTTACCTCTTTCTTGATTGGTATATACGAAGTTGATTATATCATTTGGATTGATTAAATGTGACGTAAAATCATTCATTTACCTTTTCTTGATTGGTTTATACGGAAGTTTAATTATATCAGTAGGATTGATTAAATGTAACGTAAAATCATTCATTTACCTTTTCTTGATTGGTATATACGGAAGTTTAATTATATCAGTAGGATTGATTAAATGTGACGTAAAATCATTCATTTACCTCTTTCTTGATTGGTATACACGGAAGTTTGATTATATCAATTGGATTGATTAAATGTGACGTAAAATCATTCATTTACCTTTTCTTGATTGGTATATACGGAAGTTTGATTATATCAGTTGGATTGATTAAATGTGACGTAAAATCATTCATTTACCTCTTCTTGATTGGTATATACACGGAAGTTTGATTATATCAGTTGGATTGATTAAATGTGACGTAAAATATTCATTTACCTCTTCTTGATTGGTATATACGGAAGTTTGATTATATCAATTGGATTGATTAAATGTGACGTAAATTCATTCATTTACCTTTTCTTGATTGGTATATACGGAAGTTTGATTATATCAGTTGGATTGATTAAATGTGACGTAAAATAATTCATTTACCTCTTCTTGATTGGTATATACTTGATTATATCAGTAGATTGATTAAATGTGACGTAAATTCATTCATTTACCTTTTCTTGATTGGTATATACGGAAGTTTGATTATATCAGTTGGATTGATTAAATGTGACGTAAAATAATTCATTTACCTCTTCTTGATTGGTATATACACGAAGTTTGATTATATCATTTGGATTGATTAAATGTGACGTAAAATCATTCATTTACCTTTTCTTGATTGGTATACACGGAAGTTTGATTATATCAGTTGGATTGATTAAATGTGACGTAAAATCATTCATTTACCTCTTTCTTGATTGGTATATACGGAAGTTTGATTATATCAGTTGGATTGATTAAATGTGACGTAAAATCATTCATTTACCTTTTCTTGATTGGTATATACGGAAGTTTCATTATATCAGTTGGATTGATTAAATGTGACGTAAAATCATTCATTTACCTCTTCTTGATTGGTATACACGGAAGTTTGATTATATCAATTGGATTGATTAAATGTGACGTAAAATCATTCATTTACCTCTTTCTTGATTGGTATATACGGAAGTTTGATTATATCATTGGATTGATTAAATGTGACGTAAAATCATTCATTTACCTCTTCTTGATTGGTATATACACTAGATTGATTATATCATTTGGATTGATTAAATGTGACGTAAAATCATTCATTTACCTTTTCTTGATTGGTTTATACGGAAGTTTGATTATAACAGTTGGATTGATTAAATGTGACGTAAAATCATTCATTTACCTCTTTCTTGATTGGTATATACGGAAGTTTGATTATATCAATTGGATTGATTAAATGTGACGTAAAATCATTCATTTACCTCTTTCTTGATTGGTATATACGGAAGTTTGATTATATCAATTGGATTGATTAAATGTGACGTAAAATTCATTTACATTTACCTCTAAAATCATTGATTGGTACTTGATTATATCATTTGGATTGATTAAATGTGACGTAAAATCATTCATTTACCTTTTCTTGATTGGTATATACGGAAGTTTGATTATATCAGTTGGATTGATTAAATGTGACGTAAAATCATTCTTTTACCTTTTCTTGATTGGTATATACGGAAGTTTGATTATATCAGTTGGATTGATTAAATGTGACGTAAAATAATTCATTTACCTCTTTCTTGATTGGTATATACGGTAGTTTAATCAAAAGGGTTTGAATGATCTCCTTGTCGGCTTCTACTATATGTCCATTTTTTGCTTCTTCATGGCATGACACAATTTTAAGCGTCACTTGAAAATCGATACGTGGATGTTAGGGCCATATTTGAGAAAGTTGGTTCTGAAGTATGCGAAACTTTACCTCAGTTACATGCCATAACCAGATGCGACACCACTGCCTACGAATTCAATGTCGGAAAAGTAAAGGCATATAAAAAGGTAGTATAGAACGCCAGCAGCCTGGCACTTATGGAGTAATTGGGGAAAGGGAAAAATATCGAAGACGATGCAATTTAAAGTGCAAAGAAATCCACCCAGACTGTTCTTTATAACGGAAAGGAAACAGAAACTTACGTCGAAACACGAGTGCAGCAATGAAGGTGAAATCATCTGCACCATTATTGCCAGATCCTGATTCAATATGTTATGAGATAAAACGCATTCATTTTGCAATGTTACACTTGGCTGAATTGCCCGAAGTATCCGGTGACTGAACTGAATATCGATGACTTTGGCTGGAAAACAAATACCACTCTTCCGTTGTTACCCCAGTATGGTTCACTGGGAGCCAACTTCCCAGATCATTGATTCAAAGTAAAACAAAGTCTAGGACGAGGAAAGAAAATGATGTGGATGGCTGCGAGGCAAACATAGAGTCAGAACAAGATGCAGTGGCACCTTCGCGTAAGAAGAGGAAAATGAACACACGTCGCTCAGCAAGGCCGATCGAGACAGATGATGATGTGAAGCAGAGAGAAAGTAGAGAGGAGAAAAATTCAGAAGTTAGTGAAAGAAGTTCTGATTGGGAGAGTGACTTTACAACGTCAGTTGAAGAGAGAACTGACACGTCAGATACTGACTATTTGCCTTAACGATAATGTATGCTTTAGTTTTAATCACTGAGGCTTTTTTGACGAGTGAAAATCGGTTTTCTTGAACAACTTATCCAGGAGAACGTAAAAGTGAATATTGGCACAAAAATCGAAGAACTCTCCATTTCCCCTTCCCCTTAGAATATTTATATATCATTCAAAAGATCTCTTTGAGCTAATTCAAAAAATGCAAGTTTCATTCGATTATTTTATTTCCATCAAAAGTTACGATTCTTTGAATGTTGAAATTTGTATGAAAATGACGTCATCATTCACGTGATAACAAGGAATTTTCAAAAAGGTACCGGACGAATTTGGAAAGTCCATAGCTTAATCTATGAGATTACGTCGAGAAAACAAAGGTTAGCAAGTTTGCTAGAATGTTATACCATATGCCCTGTCTAATAACAAAGCAATCTCTTGGCATTGCAATCTCAGCCTCTTTTGAGATTTTCTTGAAACATTTTTTAAGCAATGCTCCTGTATTTTTGTTTGTTGAAATCAAAAAAAGTTTCAATGAAGTCAGGAACGGTCCATACGAAGCGAATAGCTTGTGATACAGTCATGCTTTCCACTCCTAACAACATGCTCCAGAGTTTGGTTTCTGTATATCACGAAACATGCAACAGATAGCGAGATTGAACCATTAAAGAAAATGACTTCAACGTGATTAGGAAGCAAGAACACAAAGACGCAAACACAAAAGATTTCTAAATACTGACTGCTAAGTAGCTGCAGCATCTTCAACTTTAACGAAACAGAACAGTAATCTAACAAAACCTATTATAACTATAGAGTACCGAAGTGTGACGTCATCAAAAATCCATGAAAGAACAGAATAAAATACCTCTCAATAGGCAAAATCAATTAGATATGTTCAAAATTGGGCGAGATATGGCCAATGAAAGATTTTAAGACTAAGGTTGGGCGCTTTTTAGTTTTGAACAAAGTTATGTTATATTATAAAGTTATAAACCAAGACCAAATTACAGAGGTTTGATGGGGAAAGACCCCGTGCTCATGTGGCCATATCTCAGCCAATTCGTAATGTTTTTATCTGACTTTGCATATCTGGATGTATTGCATGATGCTCTTTTAGGTTCTGGGTTAAAAATTTAAAAACTCTAAAAACAAATTTTATGACGTCATCATTTCGTTACTGTATTACTTTGCAAATCACGTGACTCACATTTTCGTGGAGTCCGGAGTTTTATGACGTTTAATGGCATACCGTATTTTCTCTAAAAAGCGGCCACCATCAAAAAAGAGCTCTTTTCGAAAAAGCCGCTCATCCCTTGAAACCATCGCAAATTTTAAAGTGCCCACCCTCAAAAAAGCGCTTTTTAGAGGAAATACGGTATATGAATGTAGGGAATTTTTAACACAGTGACTATGCCTGTGTTATGGGTGCCAAGTAAAACTTCACTTTCCCTTAAGTACGAGCTTTGCTTTGACCTATCTTGGATTTTGCTAACTTGGCTGTAATGAGGAGTAAGCTTACACTGTATGCCTTTTAGTTTCCAAAATCATTCAAATTTATTTCTTCTCTTTAGGTCAGGTCTAGAATATGGAAATGTGGTACATTGAATTGTATAGAAGTACCTATGGTAAAACAATAAAAAGGTATAAATACATTGGCCTGAATTAATAGTTCAGTATTTCATATATAATTGTATATTATAAACTATATTGATATTAACACATGTATGCGAAGAAAAAATATGCATTTTATTAACTAATTAGCGAACAAAACATGAACTGAAACTGAAAAACGATGTACTGATATGAAGCATAAATCTATTATGACATGGAAATGCTTTAATTTAATTAGAGAGGATTTTTCGTAAAATTCCTTTCAAAATATAACGTTTTTACCAAGCGATAAATAAGGTTACTATTATAATATCAAAACGGGCCTGTCAATAAATTTTACTCAACAAATTGGCAAAAAGACTGGCACAAAAACAACACTGGGCTGCATTCATGTAAATATCCTCAGAATATGCCTCGCCTCTGAGAACTATGAGATAAAGAACCATTTTGGTCTTCAGGGGTCCGCTGGATCTTCTATTCCAAGTCCATGGCGAGACTAAAATAAATTTTTTAAACGAAAATAAAATGACAGATTTCTGCAAATAAATCTTTTGTGTAGAGTGTACACAAGTTACCAATAAACTAAAACTTTATAGCTTATGTTGCAATGAGCAAAACCTTACAGATCGTTGTCAGCCAAAATAAGTGAAACGATTGGTTCGAATCTTTTAGCATAAGGCTTGCTGTTAATCGAGTCTAACAATGAAGGAAGAGTGATAAAATAGGCAATGTACTTGCGGAAGTTATCATTAGCAAAACAAACACCACCGCAACAAATGTGAAGTGCCATATTTCAGCTAGCGTTAGACACAGTCAACCCAGACTTTTAAACTTCTAACCAGACGGGCACGTATCCCTAACATGTTTCGTGCGTAAGAACTGAAGGGATTGTCTCTTTCAAATAATTGCAACAATTAATGACACGTTGTCAAGTTAAAATCTACGACTTTGGTAGTTGTGGTCCATGTTCAAAGTTAGCTAGCAGTAATATTGAAAAAAGCTTTACCCGTGTCAGGATGATAGCTTTGAATATGTTGTCATCACCATTAAGGATCTTTTTTAATGCATCTGGCAATACACGGCTAGAGGTTGAGTCGGAATACTGCAATAGTGATTCTCTGCTATATATCCTGGTCTTCTCTGGTGTTTCGCTTGAGCTTCTTGACAACCTGCCTAAATATTCGCAATAGCACTGTCGATTAAGTTTCTTATACAAGGTTTGGAGATTAAAAACTCATAAAATGATCAACAAATAAAAACAAGAGTCATAAATATGCAAGATTTGTTGGTAATTTGCAGCAGTATCATTAGTAAGAACAAATTAAAAGAATGAAATTTTTCAATTTTTCAAATTTTGAATACAAACATAGACAAAAGTCGATAATGTCTGTTTTTCATTTTATGTAATAAACACCTTACTTTAAAGACCTTACTTTTTAAAAGCTTTGTATGCGAATTTTAATTGTTTCGCGAGACAACATAGTTAAGGAAAGGAAAGAAACACAGGAAACGAAGAAAGGAAAATTTTTGGCTTCAACAGATTCTTTTTGAAAAGAAGCATATTCAGCAAAATATTTTCTATTCTTTAACAAAATAAAACGGCGGTACAAACATACGAGGCGACAGGAAATCTTCTTCATTTATTCTGTCAATAAGTTCCAGGAGATCAGGGATCTTCTTCACAGAGCTTTTTGATGAAAAAACGACCTTTGGAAGGAAAGATCAGATACAGTTATGAGAGATATACAAATTAGCAAAAGATTCACAACAAAGATGCGAAAGAGAAAGAAAATAAATAAATGAAGAGCAGTTTCTGACAGGACGATATGAATTTGCAGTGAGTCTCCAGCATCGATACATGTTTTTTCTGCATGAATCAGTATGGATGGTCAATTTTTACAGCACGAAGTTTTGCAACAGTATGAAGGGTCGTATTAAAATGGAGCAAAAATATAGCTAAATTTTGCCCTACCAGGCGTTGCTTTTTGAATGAGCTCAAAGCATTCTGGAAAAATACATTGATAGCATTTTGCAATTCATTTTGATGTTTCAATTTTCATCAACACAAAGTTATGACGTCTTACCAGGACCTCTTAAAAGCAAAGTAAGTTGTAAAGTGATCTCTTTAGTTGCATCGAAAGCAGCAAATTCAAAGTTATAAAAAAGATCTCTTTGACTTAGATGCCATTGAGAAAACCTCCGTGCAGTAAGTGTTCAGGTAGAGTGTCTCTATTTTGGGTTTTGTGTCATAGTTATTGAAACTACATCATTTCCAAAGCTTAACATAAACGATACATATACAACAAGTGGTCAGATTACCTGATTTGGCAGCTAATTTCTCGAGCTAAGAAAGTTGCAACTTGGCAATAATGACCTTTTAAATTAATTATTATGTTTATTGTATCTTAAGGTGGCAAGACCGATGACAAAACATCAACTTACATCCACATTACGTCATTGTTTTTGAACGATTTTTTCAAATTAGGCCATTACTGCTTTAGATATCAATTCACTAAGAATTGCAAGTAAATAGGTCTTAAAAGACAAGATGGAATGCATTTGGCTACTTGGTTACGTTCAGATATGATATGATATACAGAGATCTAATAATAAATATCCCTTTTGTTTTAAATGTAATTAAGTATCAAATATGACAAACATTGCAAGACTTGCCACTTTAAGATCACAATATATGGAAGGCAGGAAAAACAACGTGTGCACAAGTTGATATACTATATTTAAGACATTGACACTGTAAACATTAAATTTCTCTACTTACAGGATCTCGCTACAGGTTAGGCTTTAATTTTTCCTTGTGGGAATAATTCAATGACAATGAAAAATTAATACCGTTTGAATGCCAGCCAAGTGTCCTTCAGCGAATGTCTAAGAGGTTATATGCAGCAAAAATGACACGCTGCTCAGCAACATAAAGATTTTAAAGGCTGGTTAGCAAGTCAATAGCAGAAGGCTGACATGACACCATAAAATTTAGCTAAAAGTACCTCAGCATTCACTTTGTTCAATAACATCTGAGCCTTGTAGACGTTTTGGGAAACACCATTCAAAAAGAAAAACCACCCTGCAATGCACAACAGATACCTTCATTATATGTAGCAAAATTAATCATACATATCAAGCAAAAATCTCGTAAGGCAAAACTAATGGATCATATGCAGGGATAGCCTGCGCGCAGACTTTATGTTGAACGCGCCAATAAAAAAAGTAAGTTTGCTTAACTTAAGTGGCTTGAAAACTAGTTTCGTTTTAATTGCTACAATGCCTCTAAATAATTTACATTAAAACAACATTTTTAGGTCCCAAATGTACTTACTTTTGTCGTTCTGCAACAGCAAAATATGGATTTCGCAAACTTCCATCAGTTTGCAAATGAATTGCGAAATATCTTCTTTTGAGGGGAGAATCGGTGATAGGACAGGGGGCATTCTTAAGAGGAAGCCCTAAAAAGACAAAATCCATTTCTGATAAACTGCAACTTTAATGGTGAAAACAATGACAATTAAAACCGAATCAAATTAAGCTGATATCAAATCATTGAAGTAGAAAATTCTGGGCTTTTTTGGTGTACTTACCTGTGAGAAGTCAAGGCTTCCGATAGATTCCAGAATAAGCGACTTTGCTTCCTAAGCAGACAGAACCCGGCATTAAGAAAAGAAGTTATTAGGGTAGGGGGGAGTAGGCATTAAATATGACTCAGAAAATGGATATTGTGGTACAGTTGCTCATTGAAATTGGATATTGTGGTACAGGAAGTAACAGACAGGAGTTCGATCAAACAAATAACTTGGAGATAGTAATCCTCAGGATTAGAGAAATTGCCTTTGCAGTAGCAGTAGCTCTGAATGAATTTTCAAGGTTTAAAGCTCTGAATGATGAATAAATTTTAGATACAAGGATGCGCCATTGATCGATTGCGCCATTGATCAGGTGTGCTACTTATGGGGTGGCCTTGTGCAATCAACGTTGTAAAAGGAGATTCCCTACGAGGCAGTACACTTTGTGAATATAAATTTCTCTCAAAGCATTATAAAATGGACAAACCACTTCTCTGAGGCTTACAAATTATCAGTTATTTGATACCACTAACATATTCTCACGGCCCAGAATGTTTATGCTAACATTTAACGTTTTATTTTCTAGATAGGCCTAAAGAATGTTGCGATTCTTACACTGTGGTATGTTTAAAATGCAAAGAATTCGAACCTTGCAGCTCTTCTCGTCGCCAGAAATGTGAAGTTCAATGTTGCTGTCATCGAGTTCCACCAAACGAAAAATGACATTCATCAGAGTCTAAACAAAACCTAGGTATTACGTTTCTGCTATACATAACCAAAGGGTATGCTACAGCAATTATAGAAACTTTGCTGCATATGAACAACGTATAAACAAGGAAAGAATGGGTAATATGTGTTTAAACCATTTCAAGTGAAGCGGTACTACAAGTAGGTAGGTAAAAATGCTGTTTTTTACGGGTGTAATGAATAGTGTTATCAACACTACTATGATTTTATCAAAAAGTAAACTATGCATGTCATCATAAGATAATTGCTGATAAGACTTTAATGAAAACTAGAAATTGTGGGGAGAAACCATCACTTCGAAAAAATCTAGACATTACAAGGAAACGACTTTTGATGAAACAAGGCTTACCAAAATGTTATTGGCGGGTAAGGAAAAGCAATACTGGCGCATTGGAATTTCCAGGTCATCAAATCACAACGGGTATATTTCCCATCAAATAACAATCACAACAACAATTACGCTATGAAAAACTTTATCCTTGCCAAACGGTAAAAGATTGTTTAAAACACATAAAGGGCTGGTTGCAGCTTTTGAAACCTGCTAAAGTATTACCTCGATTGATCTCAATTTTTCTCCCAATGTATCTATAACGACAGAAAATACGATATAAGCAAAGAAAACTATGGCATAAAAGCCGTACCATTTTTAAATGAGATCATCATAGCTGAACGCTATGTACATTCCCATTAGCTAAACAGTCTACTTCCTATTTGTGAAGAATACCTTTGAGGGAAACTGAAAATTTGCTTGCATCAACTTTATAATTAGCAAAGGAAACTTACCAACTATCTCATTGATGGTGAAGCCAGGAAGATTGACGACCAAATACGTTGTACTGTTCACGATTTCATTAATAAGTTGCTTTGCAGCACTGGAAATATGACCAAAGAGCATTTGAGTAATTGGCATTCCAAAGATTCAAGTCAAATAAACAGTTGCAAAAAAAGCATCAAGGTCTAAGAAAAATCATTATTGATATGAAATTATTTTTTATCATTTACATGAAAATGCCTGTTCCAGCAATCGGCAGATATAAAAGTGGTTTAATCAACCTGTCAATCAATATTAGCGAATCAGTGAGTGTGTGAGTGGAGTCACGCTTACTGGTCAATTTTTAAAACTTTGCGATTATATTTTTAAAACCGACCAAATATTATACAGCATGAAAAAACAAAAAACAGTCAGCTTCTCCTTGCGTATGAAGGCAGCTACCGCTAAGCATGCTAATTGTGCAAGAACCTATGAGCCCATGCAAAGTGCGAATGTTTTAAAAGTAAAAGTGTTAGTTGATCATATACACTAACTTCACAGCTTGTGAAGTCCCTTTAAGCTTAACTTCTTGTTGCCTCGATGACAGCTGATAGCGAGCAGCAAACTCTATAAAAATAATTTTCAAGAAATGCAGCATGAGCAAAGTAAATCTTTACATCAATATATTTTTTTCAAATAAAACAAATCAAAACGTTGGTATACATTTTGTTGTACCTACCTTTAGCATTTGCAATCTTCTCTCTCTCATGTTTCAATACATCTTCTGGAACTTTTGCAGCAATTCCTAGAGAGCCAGCCACTAGCCTGTGTGCTGTCAAAGACGATGTTTCAGGTCTTTCTTCTGCCATTTCTGCATTGGGAAGTAACTTTTTCAGTTGAATGTTATAATCTATCAGCCTTAAATAGTTCGGTATTTAGCTGTAGTTTAGCTCATTTACGCAACTACTGCAAACACAAGATGAAAAGTGCCTTGAAACTATATAAAAGTGGCGGCTTGCAGCGGTACTAGTGGTACCAGTCTAGTACAATTTTATTTTGAAAGCTCGAAATATCTTTGCTTGCTGCGAGGCCATTTAATCTCTGCAGCTCCCAATATCACATCAAAAAAAAACGTCAAACAAACCAAGGTATTGTATGAGAACTTCTGACCCGCCATAGAAAGACCATTTGGCCATATTTTTAGCTATAAAAACAAATATTTTCCAGGGACCACGCCCCTGTGCCACTCTTCCTCTAGCTGGTTCGCTCTGCTTAATTTTTTTGCTTTTCTAGTACCATCTTATTTTCGTGTCTGCCGCCATTGCTATGATACGTCATCCAACATACTACCTTCCTTGAACCTTTTACACTTCACTAACAAAGTACCAAGCTGCTTTCAAGTTTTTAATCTTGAAAGTTTTGAAGCCAATTTAGAACCAAAATTTCTGTTCCATTATGCTTTGAAAACTTTTTAAATCATTACTTAATTTGTCTTCCCCCATCCATTAAGCTATAAAAGAAAACATATGTCAGGTTCTTTCAGAACTGACTTATTAAGCCCTATATTGTGAATGACTGAAATTCTGTTGTGTAAAGCAAAAAATGATCTGCTCTACAGTAGGGTGCAATAATACTTGCTCTACAGTGGGCTAAATTCACTCAAGGATAACCTACCACTGCCTAACTCAATAATGGCATCTGACTGGAATTCCAACTTTCTCAAAATTGCCTTTTCATGTCCACGAACTAAAATATGGGCAAAAAAGATCAATAGCAGGTAACAACATGCAAAAGGGTCAAAAGTAGAAGATAGCAGAAACCATTTTTTATCTGAAACCATATTCAAAATGTTGGTTGGATGGATTAAAAAATATTATTCATGGTCCCTTGTCCCATTGGATTTGCATATGGCTTTGGTCATGGTGTTAAAAAATTAATTCTACATTGATAATTAGGTAGATGCATGATTTTCATTCACTACTTCTTTTCCACTTAGGCTCAGATTTTTCTGATTTTGTCCATGGCTGCATGACAAAAATACTGCTCTAGAGAAGAGCAACTGGATGTTTAACAGTGTCTTTTGTTAGGGGCGTACATTGGTTTGCTATCAATCAAGATGCTTTACAACAGCATGCTTCCATTTTTGTGTGCTTTTTTCAACTTAAAATGATCTTATCGTACACCCAAATAATACAATCATATATCTGTATAGGTATAAATCACGGAATAAAAACAATACTTCTTTCAACGCATTCTTCTGGAACCTTCAGGTACTCTGTTACATCTTCATTTGGATTTTGTATTTCAGCAGCTGGTTCACTGAAAATCAAAATATGATCCCTAAATTGTGCCTAAATAGCTCTAATTTGGTCATTTTTTTCTAAAATGTGTAAAAAGCAAAAAGGAGTAAAGGTATTCCTACCACTAAATCCAACAAGCACATATATTTTATTTAGTTAGCTGAAGACAAGACAATCTCGTCTTGAGCATCCTGTCACTAAATAACATGTCAGTTTTTTTAAGGAATTATCAAATAATAAAAACTGCTTACATTTCATCAGTCAGGTCAATAAGGTCAGGTGACAAGTTTTCTTTTTGCAAACTTCTCTCAGTATCTTCTTGATGCGATAACTGATCAGTGGCATTCGGAAGTTTTCCAACATTTTCACTTTTGAAAACATTTTCTGTTTTTTGATGTGCCATCACACTATGCTGAGATAATCCATTGGTTCCATTAATTTTCACCAAATCTGGTGACAGTCTCTTTTCCTTGAGGGGCAAAGGCTTCAAAATAGCACTCTTCTTAATTGTTTTTGGTGATAACTTACAAAATACTTGCTCCATAGCATTAATGAGGTATTGTCTTTTTTCGCATTCCTGAGCATAAAGTTTTGCATAATACTCAAGACTTGCTGCATGTTTTTCTTTGCTACATGTAGAAGTCATACATTCCAAAGTGTATATAACTTGAGTCTTTCCAAAAGCTGTAATGGAAGTGTCTAAGCAACATGTTCGCAAAAACGTAGCAACACTCTCTACAATCTGACCTTCATTTTCTGAGCTTTGTTGATTTTTTGTGACCTGAACAGTGAGGCAAAGCGCACTTACAACTGCATCATTTAATCTTTTGTCAGTGTCTTTGCTGACAGCTAGCGTGTAGGCATAAAATGCCGGTAACAATTTCACGAGCAAATCCCTGAAGATAGAACCATCACTACCTCTCAATTTCTGTAGCTTCCAGAGCGAAAAAAGTAGAAACACAAGGCCAACTTCTACGCCATCTGATTTTTCTAACAGCATAAGTTTATTTTTCAACTCCGACAACCCAGTTTGCAGTGCATCTTGTAGCATGCCAAACATTTTCAGGCATTGGTCTTCCCCATCATAATTGCTTTGTAAGCCCAAGTCTTCGAAAAGCAGCCCAGCTATCGGAAAATTAAATACGTCCTTTACTGCTTTTTCATAAAGTAAATACATTACTTTTGTAACATTTTCGTCTTTTTCAAGAGTTGAACTGAGGTCCCGAATAATTTTTTTACCTCTTGTAGCATAATCTGTCTTGCTGAGTGACATAATGTTGTCTCTTCGCTGTCTCCACTCGCCTGGTATTTTTGTTTGTGGGCGCGAAGATATGCTCCTTGGCCTTTTTGAGGGTACGTTAGCTTCATTTTTTTCCATTTCACTGATAACCAGTTCTGTTTTTAACGATGTCATCGCAAGCACTGGGCGTTTATTTTTCTGACAACTGGAGATCACGTTGGCAAAATGATGACAAACAGCAACAACCACAAATCAAGGGAGAAGTTTGGAAACGAGGTACATGTCGTTTTGTCTTCTCGTGAAGGTGTAGCGGCAAATTTCAGGCGTTGTTTGAGCTGGAATTTAGAAGGAAACCTTCTAGGAGTCCAATATTTTTATAACGTTCAAAGATAAATACTACATTTTCAACATCATTTATAAAGAGGCCTGGCTCACGTTAAATAAATTTAATTTTTATAGACATCATCCACGGCCTAACTTCGACGCAGGGATGCGAGAAGAGGACCTGGACAGACAAACTTTCGTTGTTTCTAGTGGTAACTACGTATGATAAGCGCAATGTAAAGCAGAATTCGAAGAAAAAAGAGTTGAATTGGTTTAAAAGGAAAATGGCAAATCAAGGAAAGCGTGTCTGGAAGCTGCGTAAGTTTGATTTCAGTCACATTTATGTTTCCATCATATCATAATTTCTGTTTCAATTATATGACACTGACAGGTGCAGGTTTGGTCGTCATATCCCCAAAATTTGGATCGTAGCCGTGACATTAATCCACTTTAAGCTGGCGCGTCGGTTTCTTAATGTCCTGTTATCTCTAGAGTGATAGATCGGACCTAATTAGTAGTTTTGAAAAAGTATAGGGTTTTCAAGCAAGATACTTTAATTTTTCTCTTTTTTGTTTTTTTATTCTTTGTTGAATTATTATTCTTTTAAAGCATACTTTCTACTTCCTCAGATTTCTACTGCATTATTTATACATTTTGTATCCGAATTTTATTGTTTTTATGTAAAATTTCTTTCCCCACGAAAACTTTGCTAAAGAGCATTTTAAAAAAACTGAAAACATATTGCAATGAAAATAGACAACCTTAACAGTAAATCTAACTCAAGAATAGGCCAAGAGAGTCTAGTAGGCAATACGATAATACGCCTGCCTCAGAAATAAGCTGAGATGAAGTGAAGCAGGCCTTTTGGTAAGAAATAGCCAACGTGAGTGGACCACCACTCGCATGATTTCTCTTGCGCTAGCAATGGCTCCAAAATTAGTAATAATAATGAACAATGCTAAAACTCTCGTAATATTTCTAAAAATAAAATGATCCTGTTATAATGAACTTTTGTGTAGGTAAAATCAAATGAAAATGAACTATTTCAATGAGTTTTAAGAATGATTGAATGCTCAATTTAAACATGCTTCCTTCATAAAAATGATCTACATCGCAAAGGTCATAAAGATGTTATTGCTGGATGATCACAAAATTTTTTTAAAAGCGCTCTACTGCCCAGAAAATGCTTCAAGTGCTATTGTAGTTCAAATACTAAGTGCCTATAGTATTCTTAAACATTAACGGTGGAATTAATTTTCAAATGCATTTTGTTGTTAATTAAACTTACATATATTTCCTGTGTTTTGATATACCAGCTTTGTATTGTCTATGTCACTTCCTTGCATCACAAAACATGAAGTTAGAAATGGTTTAATTGATGAGATTTACCATTTGATCACACCATCGAATGATCAACCACTTGTGTTGTTTGGTTTATGCCAGTGCTGACATGATCATGAGTGATCGCTCACATCAAACGAAAAGGCCTGAAATGAAGTCATTGCAATGCACATGATGCAATCTGCTATTTGTTTGAAAGCAACAATTTAAAAATAGCATCTATGTGCAAGTCATTATCTTACAAACTTTACGCTGAAGTTTTGAAGTGCATCACAGGTAAAGGTAATACAAGCAATATAGAAGCCTGACTTTTAAATCAATTTTGAAGTACCCCATTTTTGAAAATTAATGTTATTCTGCTCATCATGTTCTTTTTCAATCTTTTTTCAGCAAATATCTTGAAAATAAGCCTATTCAAAAATAGGCTAAAATTTTCTAGACAAAGATAAGCAAGGTCGTATTGTCCAGGAAATATGGTGATTGTAATTAAAGTGGATTACATTAAAGAAGTCACAGCTTAGGTCTACAAGTCTACAGGCTTTAAAATGCTCTAGTGACTTAATACCATAAGATACTTCATGTTTTTGATGCATCAATTTTTGTGTATGCTGACACCATACTGTAAAGAATTTATTTGTGCAAGGCATTAATTTGAAAAAAACATTAATCAAACTTTTGTCTGTTAAGGATACAAAGTAGAGACCCAGTAAGATAATTTATATATGATTATTACTTTATTGATAAATTTATTTTTTGACAGCATTGCAAGCTTGTATTATTAATTTTCACTAACTTTCACTGACTAACTTAATCAAATCAAACCATGCTTTTTGTGAACAACAATGTAGCAAAAAACACTAACAAAACATATTTACACAAACGGGCCATACATTAATGGTTCAGTGATTGAAAACATTGACAGAAGTATGAATTTTAAAAATGTCAGTGCTTCTTACATTCTGACATACCAACCAGGCTTCTATATTTATGTATATGCCAATAAAGTTTATAAATGATATTCTATAAAGTGTATGCATTGGTTTATATGCAGTTATTACTTTATGTTGACATTTCAATTATTGGAAATGCATCTTTGAGTCTTTGTTAATGGCATCTCAATATTTGTTGTAGAGGAGAATGTTGCTCATAGTTCACAAGTTACATGCTTGGCACTTGGTCCATCCTCTGGAAGGGTCATTGTTACTGGTGGCGAAGACAGGAAAGTCAACATGTGGGCAGTTGGAAAGCCTAATGTAATAATGGTAAATGCTTTTAAGATTGTCAATTTTCACCTTTTCATTTAATTGCTTTTCTATTTTTCTCTATGTCGTATGTATTGTTTGTTTTATTTTGTTCCTAGATTTGGTTTTGGCTGCAATAGCAGTGTCATACTTTGGTGTTAGAATTTAGAACCACAGTAATTTCAAAGTAGAACTCCAGTTGATGTTAAAAACATTGCTTTTCAATTTGGCTAACTTCCTGGTTCACAATACACAAAATTATTGTCAAAGCTTGATTGTATTTTAACAGTTTGTTAGTGACAAAAATATTGGCCAGATTAATTTGGATGTAACAGTCATGGAAGTCTCCTTTCAAAGCTAATAAATTTAACAGTGGAAAATGGAAAATGTTGTGGACAGTAACTAAATTTAAGTTATTTTTCACATTTCTAATTAATGTTTCAATCCTCAATGTTTTAGAGCCTATCTGGCCACACAGCACCCGTGGAAAGTGTACAATTTAACAATAGTGAAGAACTTGTTCTTGCTGGCTCCCAGTCAGGGACACTAAAAATATGGGACTTAGAAGCTGCTAAAAGTGTGTACTTCTGCATTTCTTTCCTTTTCCAAACTCTGATCTTACATTTACCAGATAATTTTTAGGCTCTCAGTATTTTGATATTCTGTGCTTTTCTTGCTTGATCATTATATGGGGTTGCAATTAACAATCCTTTCAATAAGGTTTTTAATTGACAAGTCTTATTTTTCATGAGTAGTTTTCCATTACAAGGTCAAATTTTGTAAATTTTTATTTGAAAAATATAAAAGATTTAGTCCATCTCATAGAATAAAAAGACAATGCATACATTCATGATTGCACATATTTTGAATTACCCATTGTGTTTAGATTTATATAAGTATAATTTTGTAAATGGTTAGATGACTGTTATTTAAGTTTAACATATAAAAAAGATTCAAATATTATTGGAATCTTATTTTTTGTTTGATTGTTGTCTAAAGTCCTAATTGATAACTTTATATCTCATTTAGTTGTTCGAACCTTAACTGGTCACAAATCATCAATAAAGTGCCTGGACTTTCACCCATATGGAGATTTTGTTGCTTCAGGATCGTCTGACACAAACCTTAAGGTAATATAGGCCCTCTGGCTTTCTGAAGTTGTTGACAGGCAAATCGCTATCATGCACCTTATTGCATGATTTTTTCATGAGGTGCATATATTCTACTAGCATTGCTGACACAGGCACTGCAGAGCAAGAGGGCTTCAGTTCCCCCACTTTTTGCAAAAATCAAAAACATTTAGAAAGGAACCAGCAGTAAAGGGTCTTTTTAATTTTTATTTGGTTTAGTCCCCCCTCCCACTTTCTTAGACCCCCACTTTTCTGAACACTCTGCTGTGCCTGTGACATGCTATGAACTCTCAGAAACAAAAAATGGCCAATTTCCATCTTTTATACATAAGTAAGAAACCACACCTCATTAATTCATCTAAAAATGTGAGAAAGCCATTGGAATGCTATTACTAGTGGTACCATTTGCGCTAATTCAAAATTTCTAATATCTTTAATGTGATGGGCTATGATTTTTTTCTGCACTATGAGTTACAAAATATCATGCCGCATTGTTGCCTCACAAAGAATAAATCAATCAGAGGTAAATGTGTAGCTGAGCAAGATCTTTTAATGTTAGATTTTTTGATAAATTTTTTTTATCAAATCAAATATCTTTATTGACAAAATGATAATCTGTATCTTTATCAATCAATATTGATTTCAGCTTTGGGATGTAAAAAGGAAAGGCTGTATTTTCACATATAAGGTTAGTGTAGATTTTGTCAGATCTCCTGTCTGTAGTTTGCTAATTCGCTAAGTTATATAGATTTCTTAAATTACAACTTTGCTTTTGTACAGTAAAACTGTATTGGCATTTTCAGATTCTCGTATTTAAATGCTCTCTTTTGTTCCATGTATCTTGCTCTACTTCTCTTGATATGACTTGGAGCTCTACCTTTCTTTGTTACATTTGATTTCAGTTTTGCAGAGCCTAACCATTTAATTTTGTGGTATTTCTTTCTTACATCTTGAAATGTTATCTGAAAAGCTATATTCACCGACTGTTCTTACTGCAGATGGTAGAATGTCAATCTCATAAATGTCTAATTATGTTTCTATTTCTGTAACTCTTGCATCTGTTTTCCATGCTCCAGTCGTTCATCTGTCACATTGTTAAATGTCATTTGATAATGAAAGGAAAAATATCCTAGTTTTTGCCATGCATATTTGCCACGCTAGCTTCATATTGACAAATTTCTTTAGTTTCTGCCGTTTCCATTTATGTCCCGTAAGCTGTTCTTTGATGAAGGCTTTGGGCTTTTGTTCCTTCCTTTTTTCAAACACATTTCCATTTTAGGAATAATATATTTCTTATGATGATGGTTTTTCCTCATCATGGGTATTTTTTGTCATTTCTTATGGTTCCTGCTGAAGGTTTTGATTTATATTCTCCATTAATGAATTCAGACAATCCAACAAATAATCCAAAGAGCATGTCTTTCTTTTGGCAACTTTAATTTGGATCCATATGTTAAGTCTTTCAATTGAGTTAAGCCTTATTCGTTGCTTGTATGTCTCAGTTATGACAGGCAGTATTTACATGTCAAAACTCAATGCCAGATCGATATTTGTATATCCAATTGCTTTTTTATGGCTTTAATTGGGACATAAACAGCTTTCTATCAAATGCCTTACCTGGAGAATGTTTTCGTCTAAAGGCCTCTTTATTTCATTTTTATATTTTGCAACTTTAACTTTCCATTTATTCTTTCCTAGGGTCATACTGATTCAGTTAATCATTTGCGATTCAGTCCAGATGGCAGATGGATTATTTCTGCGGGACAAGACGGCGTCGCAAAAGTAAGTTTTGTACCTTACTTATATCGTGATTAATCTTTTCGTTGCCCTTATAGACTATACATCATATAAGCAGACTACCTTACGTAGTTTATTTATCTTCTGCTAAATTTCATACATATTTAAATGATGTTTTCAATCGCCAAATCTCTTTCAGCTTTGGGACCTAACTGCTGGCAAAATTCTCAATGATTTTAAAGATCATACAAGTGCTGTCAACAAAATTGAATTTCATCCTAAAGAGTTTCTTCTAGCAACTGCCAGTGCTGATCGGTAACTTTCAGTTGTTTATTGTATTTGCTACATTTCTTCAGCCGCATCTCAACTTTTCTGTCATGCAGTACAATATAAGAAACCCCCGGCTGTTGCTTCCTTTTTACTGGCGAATTTGTTACACATTTAGAAAATCTTAATATAAAAGCTTCCCAGAAAAAACGGGCTTGAAAACTTTGAAGGGAAAGTACACTGCATAAACCCCATTCCGAAAGCTTTCTTTTCGAGTCAAGCATTTCCAATCTTATTCTTCTACAAAGTATTAAATCCCCACACCCAATTTAGCAAATTTATGTCTATATATTTGAAAAGCTGCATTGAAAATGAGTGTACCGCCTAATAAATTCACATAGACGCTAATAATGTTTCAAGTTAAGATGAAAGCCACTCTTGACTTACTCGAATTGTTTGTTCTTCCAGGTTTTCTTGTTTGTATAATGTAAAAGCATTTGCTCTTAAGACCTTGTTTCACCTTGTTTCTCGTTTTGTTTCCTGCTTAACCAAATTTCTTGCTTGTTTAAATTTTTGGCTAGAATCAAGGGTGCTCATGAAACTGCGTGCATAAATGACGTGTACATTGCGATTCGTAATACATTCAATGTATATATCATAGTATATTTGACAGATAATGATATTTTTCTAGCACTGTCAAATTTTGGGATCTTGAGACGTTCGACTTAATCTCAACCACCGAGCTCGAGCAGTCTTCCGTGAGGTAAGAAATCTTCTACTCAAAGTATACCTCTCCCCAAATTCTTTTTATTGCGACAGCTTTCATTAAAAGTGTGAATAAATGATCAAACACTGACATTGTGGTTTATGTTACAGGGCTATCTCTTTCCATCCAGAGGGTCACTGCTTGTTTAGCGGCTCGCAAGATTCGCTGAGGGTTGGTATTTTGTGCCATTCTTTTCTGACTGAAAGTGCCTTTTTCTTGTTGACTGCATCAGTTGATTTTCATTAGTATGTTAAAATTAAAGATCCGTTAATTTATTTTCTAAATATTTGAAGTGTTATGCAATGTGCGATATATGAAAACAGCAAATGATAATTCTGTTATTCATTTTCAATTAACCTGTGTTTTTTCAAGACTTTATTGCAGTTGGCATTTTATATTTCTGTTCAATATTTATTTACACCACTATTGAGATGCAGTTAATCCCAATGTTTGCTTGAATCCCGCTAGGTGTATGGATGGGAGCCAAAAGTATGTTATGATTCATTTTCTCTTGGCTGGGGAAAAGTAAGCGACATGGTGTTTTCATCAAATCAAATGGTGAGTCTGCATATTGAGGTCTGGTGCATAACATGCATTGTCCGTTTATTAAGCGAATAATGAAGCAGCATTTTTTGAAGCTCAGATGCTTCCAGGAATATTGATAAATATTTAATCACTTAATGAAAAAAATATTAGAATTTTACATCTATGTCATATTTAGCTGCTATTTCCAGTTTATTGAGCTGGGTTACAGTACATTTATTGATGTAATAAATAACTTCGAAAAGCTTTCAATGAATTATATTTTGAGCTTTCTTGTTGCTTCCTTTTCAGATCGGAGCATCCTTTGCACAAACTAATATGTCTGTTTGGGTTATCGATTTAGCGGTATGTTTCACCTCTTTTCTTATTCCTAATTTTTGCAATGCATTTTTCTGTAGGTTCTTTTATTCAATACTTCAAGCTTTGATACTGCTTATCAAAAACTCTTTATTTTTCATTCTGTGTATTTGATATTTTTTGGTAGCTAAAATAGTTCTACTCTTGTTTAGCATCTTCCGGAGTCAATTTCGGATGCTGATAAAAGGGAACAGACTTTGAAGAAGGAAAAGGTGTGTTTCAGAATTTTGTTATTTTATTTGCTATATCAGTAGTCGTTTGTCGATTTCTACACATCTGTTTGCATTTCAAAAGAATGCCTATGAATACAGTTAAAATTGAACCGTTTTCCCTATTTTATTTCGATTTTAGTTTCGCCATTTTGTGCTCGATGCCGTACACGCATTGATGCGTAGAGCAGGAAAGTGTTAAGATGGAACTCATAGTTTCGCGCTTAATGTGATCTTCAGGCAAAAGTTCTAATGATCGCATCAAGCTTGAAACTCTGAGCTGCATTCAGAATGGCTCTTTTCTACATACCGAAGGGTCAAAATCAAAATACCGTAAAAGCTCTATTAAGCCCCCCTCTCTATCAAGCTCCCCCTCTTTAGCCTCTGACAAAAAAACATGCGCATTGAGTGGGTCCCTTGACGGGTGTTATGGTGATAATATCATGTGCATTAAATATGGCCCCTGTAAAGATTTCTTTGTGCGCCTTTTAAGTCAAGAGGATACTGATGTTGATTTTTTTGAATAATTCTCAGAGCATTGTGGCATTTTAAGAATATGTTTTATTTTGAATAATTAATTAGCCCCCCTCTTTAATAAGCCCCCTATCTTTAAAGCCCCCTTTGACTGAAAGTAATAAATAACAAATGGGGGCTTAATAGAGTTTTTTCGGTGGATGAAACTGAAATTTTGCTTCAGTTTTCTTAAAGGAAATTACTATTTTTTATTTATTAAACAGGGACCAGAAGAAGCAGTCAATCCTGCAGGAGGAGGAAATGCTCCTGTACCCAATGCTTCACGTAAACAAAGGTAGGTTTGTTCTGTTAATTATTTTCATGTATAATTTGCTTTCTCGTAATTTGAGCACAAAAGAAAACTCTAACTGTTTTCCATATTTACCTGATAGTATTTCAGTTGTCATATTTTTAGCATTAATACCTGATTTGGTTACAGCCCTCAAAGGAAATCTTTTAATACAAGACCAAGGACGACGTCATCAAAACCAAAGTAAGTGTTACTTTTTTCTAGCTCAAATTTTTAAGTCAATTTACTAGTTTTTTCATTTAACTGTATGAGAATTTCCAGGCACCTCATAAGGTTTTTGAAACTTTTTGTTGAATTCCTATAATTTTGCATTTCAGACCCACTGTAAAAGAAGAAACGCCTGCGGCAGTTGTGGAGGATGACGACCAGCCTGTGACATATGACAAAGCTTTCAAGCCATCGGCAGTGTTACGTAAGGACTCGTTCCCAAACTTCCTTTCAAGGGCCTTCATGAATCCTTTGCATTTTGTGTTTTTTTGCTTTGTTTAACAGTATTCAAAGTCATGCGTAGTATTTGAGTATGTTTTAAAATTAGATTAATAGATAAATTGACTTGATCTATTGCTTACCAATGCATTTATCGTCATGCAATTTTAATGCTATTTGAATTGACCAGAAAAGACGAGATCTTGATCAGTATTCTTTCCTTACAGGAAGATCGCCATCAAGTGAAAGACGTCTTATCGAGCCGTTTAAAGCCCCGGATGAACAGATCAAAAGTGCCGGTAAGATATCAATTGTTTGTTTCAATGTACTTAAATTCTTTAGTATTAAGATGAAAGTAATTGTTGATAATTATTTGGTGTTAATATTCTTGAATTTTTCTTTCAGATCCTGTTGTTTCAGAGTCTCGAAAGGTAAAAATCGTCTTGATGTTAATACATAAGTTTAGATGACATTTATAACTTTGATTCGACTTAGATCACGTAAAATTTACTTTTCCTGCAGAGCTCTTCTCTCACACTTTGCCACAAAGTTTATTGCATACAAACGCGAAAATGTTTTCTTTACCATTTAGAGTCAAACCAAACTATTCTTACTGAACCCATTGCCTTTTTGCACTGAACATTTGAGTCGAACAGTATCTGGGCGTGTATGTCTGTGAATGATGCAAGTCTATAATCATGACCTTATTAAAATATTATGCTTGTTTAAAATTTGTTTCTTATCATCGTTCAGGACGACAATGAAAAAGGGAAGCCCGAGAGTAGAGGCAAAATATCCCCTGAAGGAGAAAAAGGCAAAGAACAGCCTCCCAATGTTGAAGTAGCCTCGCATGAGCCTGCTCCTCAGCCTCAAATCCAAAATGTAGTTGCAGCAAAGGTCGAAACCAAAGAATCGAGGGCGCCCTCAAGACAGCCGCCCTCACCGGATCCAACACCTCAAGCTCCTAGCAACCCGCAATGGCGAGAAAAGGCTAACATTGACCCTCGACCAGTGCATCCTTCCTCAGCTCAGCCGCCCTTTCAACAGAACAGTGAAAAGGCTAGGCCTGAAAGTGAGGTCGCAGGAGTGAACTTAAATGACTTTATGCCGGTATGTACTGCATGATTTCATTTTCATAATGCCCTTTTCTTATGCACACTGAACAAAATTCGGATTTCAAAACTGATCTTTTGTCAAGTTCCTTTCGTTGTTTTTATAAACTTCATATGTACCTCTCACCCGAAGCGTCCAAGTACAGGAATAATTTTTTAGTTATCTAGAAAACCATGGAAAAATCAGTTTAAAATTGTGTTTTTGATCTTCCTTTCACTATTTTCACACTTTGAAAACACTTTCTGTCCCTTTCCAGGTTATTTCAAAGATAGGACAGGATGTACGGAATGATCCACCGTCTCACCACATAAGCGATGAAGCTGCGATGGGCCTGCTCAGAAAAAGTAATTTTTTATATTTATTAACTATGGTGGTGTATCTATGTAATTTATTTTTTAAAATTTTCTTCTCTAGCGCACTCTTTTGCCGCTTGTCGTGAAATAAAGGTAGGTATCCATATGGAATGCGGCGGGTTTAGATGAAATGAAGACTAATGTGTGAGAAGACGAAAGTTTTATTGTATATAATTAAGTAAGAAGGAATCTGTTTTGCTGTCGACCTCGCTCTTCGGCTATACAGAAGTTTAGCTGTAAGAACCGCTATCAGCACCCTCAGTGGATCAAGAAGAGACTTCTGTAAGGAGTTTTGATGGTTTTATTGTGTTTTTCTTGAAGGTCACCAGTCTATTTGCACGATAATGACCTCTCGACTAAAGAACTTATCAATTATCGGTCAGATGTGGACAGATGGAGAAATTAAGGTTCGTGCCACTGGTACCATTTGTTTTACTATCAGTATGCTATTGTCAGTATTAGTATGTCATTGTAACCAAAGGCCCTCATGAGGCAGTCGTTGACAATCGCTTTTTGTCACTTCTGGTAATGCGAAAATACAGAAAACCTTAGAATAATTTGCAGTGCATTTGTAAATGGCAAGTTTTGTATTTAAAATAGTTAGCAACTTACGATAAGCCTATTTCGTTTTTAATGAATTTTCATCTAAAGCTAAAGTGTCTTTCATTTTTAGTCAGCTGTTCAGACTGCTGCATCCATGCCTGACCAAGCCATTCTTATCGATCTATTGAATGTTTTAGTTTTGAAACAGTATGTACCTTGTTTCTAGCTAAAACCTTTTTGCATGAATTACAAACCAAAGTTTTTATTTGCTCGAAAGTTTTGATTTTGAGGTACCAATTTTCTTCCCTACTCGTTTTGTTCGAGATAAAAAAGACGTGTTGTTTTATCTGTTAGTTATCTGTTTATCAAACCTAGTAATTTCTAAAGTTTTAAAAGAAATAATACATTTATGCTAGAGGAAATTAAACAATAGTGTTCCGCTTAAGAATGCCTAATGCAATACCTAATCATTGATAGGCCTGATGTCGTTGAGGAGACCGCCGGATACCTTTTTATCCAAGCGTTTTTATTGCAGGACACTTTGGAATCTTGATATATGTGTGGTGGTGCTGCCTCAAGTGAAAGAGATGCTTAGCAGCAAATATGAAAGGTTTATTTTTTCTTCAATTTTCTTTATTTTAAGTTTACTCGATCTTTCTGCCGCCGTTTTTAGAAAAAACACTTGTCGCCCCCCTTAAGGTGATGCTTCCACTGATCTTTTAGCAAGACAATTTCAAAATAGGTCGTCTCAAAAGTTTTACTTTCATAGTTTTATGAAGAATAAGTGCTGTTGGGTCATTTTAAAACAATCATTTCAATCAAGTGAAACACCAGGCAAAATAGTTTAGCTATTTAAAAGATTCTTGCTTTGGGATTGGTTTTAATTTTTTATAAAAAGCTAAATAGCACATAGTATTTAGAACATCGTCACTTATATCCCAGAGTTCGCAGTATCCGATAAAAGTTTTTGATTTTTCGCTTTTTTACCTGCAGCTACGTAGAGACTGGATGCAGCGTCATCAGGCTTGTGTTAAAAAGTTTTGCGCCAGTCATAAAAAGCAACATGGCCGCCCCACCTGTTTCAGTGGGATGCGATATCGTTAGAGAGGAAAGGTAAGAAAACGACTGATATTTTGCAATGACATTCCATGATGCGGAGCCTAACGGGAAATAGGGGCCCTGGAAATAGCATCTCTTTTTAACTATGAATTTGGTGGGGACTTTGCTTCTATGGATAGAGGTGATAGATGTCTGTGAATAGGGTTTAAAGGTGTCCAAATATTGTTTCATTATGCCGTTTGATATCGCACGTTGTTTGCAAAATACTACTTCCTTTACATTTAGATAACTGTAACAAGAAGTTGACGAATACATGATGTCCTTTTTCTTCGTCGTCGTACTGGTTATTAATTTAGATAACTGTAGAATTCATTTGACTGAAGTAAAGAATGATCTATTTCAAATATTGTAAATTCACTTTTGTTTTTATGGTTTTTTTGCAGGTATCAAAAATGTAGAAGATGTCACTCATACTTAATGGACATAAAAGAACTTGCAAACAGACTTTCGCACAATCACGGCAAACATGGTGCAATGAATAAACAGATATCGCTAGCTTTAAATGCCATAGACTGAACTGTTTGTCATTAAAGCAGCAATTTCATTGTCTAAAATGTGACATTATCTATCTAAGCTTTTAAGCTAGATTGTGTTTCTCCTCCAGGAATATGACAACAAGTGAGGAAATTTAGCTTTTTTACTGTGATTCAAAGTATTCCGTCGAATCTCATGGATTGGGTACTACCGTCAACGTGTTCAATTGGATTTCATGTTTGTATTTTAGTAAAGCTTTGATGCACTCTTATTAGGTCCCGTTTGCAAGTAGCACTCGGCTGGTGATTCATAGTTGCACTTTTTAGATCATTAGTAATCAGCCATAGTTGATTGTGGATAACATAGTACACGAGAATAACACTGCATTTTATTTAGTCGCCTGTTCGCATCTTCTGTGTCAGGTTTTCCTTGCTTTTTTAATTGAAAGAGCAGGATCTGAACAATAGTACGTGACAATGTCTTAAAAATCCCAAGAGGTTAAAATGTGCCACATTTGAACTCTTTAAGTTTCAATGTCTTAGAGACGTCAGTACCATTCATTTGGTACCAAGTAGAAGCTTTTAAGTTTTGGTTCGCAAGACATTCTTCTTTTCAGCCCTAACTGATTCAATCAGATCTTAAGAAACCTTCGTTACTACTGTGATAAAGAGGGCCAGTAGCAACAGGTTCCTGAAGAGCAATCGGAACAGAGGCTATCATCATCATACAGCTCTTGCATGGTAACGAGACCAGACATTGCATTCTTTGTTCTGATTTTTATAAGGGTGTTTTTTTTCAAAGACTTCTTGTGACCGCAATCTTCTGAAAAAAATTTCCTGTGAAAATCATTAGAAGATTTTGGTTGCAATATCTAAAAAATGCAATAAGTATAATGTTGCTTGAATCAAGCACATAAGCCAATAAGGCGATTTGCCGAATGGTTCATTCCAAAAACTACCATTATGTACAGAAGAGACGAATCTGCCGTCTTGTGTTTGAGTTGCAAGGAGGACATTTTTCAAAAATACATCACATAGGAGGTTGGTTATTTCTGTATTACCTGTAGAGCCTCTATTTGTTTAAGTTAGAGTGGCTGGAAAGCGGAAAACGTTTGGCAAAATCAAGTGCAAACAGCAAGTTCAAAGTTAAAGCTTGTTTTTTCTTGGTCGAGCAACTTCTCGGAAAGGAAAGGCAAGACAACTGAGATGAAGCTCTAGCCAATTTAAAAGATGAAGCAGTTGGCCTACAATATCCAACATAAATTTCCCTCTATGCTGTTGAGAGGAGAGGGCTACACTGCTAAAAATAAAGAGTGTTTCACAAAGTGACAGCATCCAGTTGAGAGTCTACTCTCTCTCATAAAAACGGAAGCAAATTAGGGAAAATTGTGCATCATTTATTAAATCTTGAATTTAGAAATATTTTTGTTAACCCAGGGGCCAGGGGTGCACTCAAAAATAGCCCAAGTATGAGAAGTAAATTTTTACTTTTTGCAACGAAAGCTCTTCAGCTCACTAGCACAATATCACTGTGCTAAATATATCACTGTGCTATTTTTAAATATCATGAAATTTTTTTCCTTTGGCATTTTTATTCCTTCCAAGTTGCCTAACTTCTCGTTAAGTGTATACAACTGTAGATTGTTTATTCATAATTGAAAGTTTCCTGTTAGGAAAAATTTTTACGTACGATTCCCTTCCAATTGTCACGCGGTCACAGGGAAAATAGCGCACTGATTTTTTTTTACAACGCTTGAAACTGTGATTGCTGGATAATATCAGGGACTTTGGGCGTCCCTTCCGGAGTTCGGTTTCGAAGTCATGCCATGAATGCAAAAGCTTCTAATTTCTCTATGTAACAAGGTCCATTTTTTTGTTATTCCATGTTTTTCTTTCTTTTCTTCAATTATCGTTTATATTATTTAAACGTTTATCTACCAAGGTCACTAATCTACGAGAAATATTTTCAAACCTGGGAAGTTATTTATCTTACTGTTGTCAGAATAAACTATTATTTGTCAATGATGATAACAGTTTGTTTTTCAAGGCTGAAAACTACATTAGCAAAAGCAATTTGTATAAAGATAGGACTTCTCAATTTTTCTCTTCCAATTAACCAATTGAAAATTGAGTAAGGTGTTTTTGTTCTCGTTAAATTTCTACAAATAAATTTTCAGTTTGTAGTTGCTTAAAAAGCAAACATTTTACTGTTGAATCTTTTAGAAACCTGGTAAGTAATAATTCTATTCCCCGTTATAAAAAACTTGCCGATTTGTTGTTATACAGGGGTGTCTCTGAAGACGACTCAAAATAACTAGATTGGTCATCATATTATATACGAAAGAGTTAGCGTTCACTTGCAAATATACAAGAAACCAAGCACAAGTTCGTATTGCCATATAGCTTTGTTGATGACAATAATGATTAAGAATGCTCATGAAAATTGAATGACGACGAAATGGTTGTTGCTGTTGTTGTTGCTGTTGTTGTTGCTGCTGCTATTGCTGAAGTTGGCGTTGCTGTTTTAATGGCTTGATAACAATAAACGTATATAAATCACCGAAATTTGGTTTTCAGTGCATTTAAAAGTTTTGCAAAATGAGGCAAAATTATAAAAATTGCGGCTCCTTAGAGAGTTTGCTTTTCCACTTTTCTGTTTTTCTCAAACGCTTCAGTTAAATCTTTTCCAAGTTTGCCCCAGTTCGGACCCTTCAAAGACGAAAACAAGGGGCCGTCGGACGGAGACGAACATGGTGTAGTTCCCCCGCAGCTCTTCACTCGATCTGTAGCTAGCTTCAATCCGTGTCGTTTTTTCGCCACTCCGTCAGGGCCTTTCAGTATTATGGTCGGCTTTCCATCTTTTGCTGGTTCCTTAGACACTGAAGCTGTTTCCTTTTTGTCTGACACACACTGCTGATGCTTTTCCTCCATTATCTAGAATGAATTTCGTTTACCTTATTTATGTCATCCAAAAGAAATCGCAGATTGAATAGTCATAGAACAACAAATCCTAGAATAAACCTAAAGTGCATATACTTTTCAAAGCATTGGAAGTAGCTTTGAAAAAAGTCAATATTTTAGAAAATACTGCTTTCTTGTAATGACCCGCTCCGAAGTATAAAACAAACTGCAGCATATCTCATCACCAGTCCAGGCAGGGCTGATTCACAAAAATGTTAGAGAATCTTATTATCGTTTTTTAAAATGTTAGTTGTTTTCGTGATAAACTGTCTTATTCACTGCAATTTTTCAGATTTGTTACATTTGCATTTATTACATTGTCTATATCCTTCCAAGTTGATAAAAATGAACTAGATGATGACATGTTCACCTCCATAATATTCGTAGGGGTTTCACACTACCGAAGGCGTCTCGCACTTCCACTTGTGTCACTGTATGTGTAAATAGAAATGCGTCAGACCGTAAATTGAAAGCATTTTAGAAATACAATAACGATACTATAAAGTTATGAAATTTTTGTAATAGCTTTAATACTAACAAAATTTAGTGTTGCATCATGACTGTGTCAAATTGGATCTATAACCTGTTTCATCCTTTCACTGCTGATTTTTCAATTTGTGCGAAATTACATGGAAAATGGTTCTATGAAAATAATTGAACCAAATAACCGCCCACCTCCTGGCTTTGTAAGAGACAAGATATCTATCTGTTCATACAATGTTTGTGTCTCCTGCATGTGGTCTAGGCTCATTCAATATAATATCAGTACCTAATCCATAAAGATAAAGTTATCAAGCTAATACGATATTTTTTCATTTTAAGAGTCTTAACAGTTCATTGCTTAGTTGATGGACAGAAGAATCTCAGATCGACAGCAAAAAAACATTATTTCGATTCGTTTGAAGATTCTTCTGAAAACTTAAAAAGACTTTATCGTTAAGGTTGGCCTGATTTCCCGTTTTTGCAATATTTGAAGATATGAAAAATCAAAGTGATTAGTTTTATTATTTTATCGTTAGCCTCAGATGAGAGAACTTTTATTACTAATTAATCAAGTACTTTAGATCAATCCGACTCTCGCTGCTCACATCTAAAACTGGTTTCTTAGGTTACAAGAGAAGCTTGAAAGTCAAATTTCATGTTTCTATGGGTCTTAGTTATGCTCGCGATAAATTTTTGCCCTTTCAATTTCTGAATGAGGACAAACGGGGACAGTTCTCCGACTACTTTTTTGATCATCTATTGCAGTCCTTGACATGATACTATAGTGATGCGCCCACTCCTTTGAGTGCGAAGGTCAGGCTTGAAAGAAGTTTATTCAAAACATCTTCACAAGATTAAGATATTTTTTCAACTGACTGCAGCATCTCAAGAACAGTGCATTTTCCAGCAAACTGGAAGCATCAAAGTTCAAATGATCCCCCCCCTTTGGCGCCAACAATGGTGACGCCTCGGACAGTGTAGTTATATCCTGGGCTTTTTCTGATATTTAGATCAAATCTAAAGGGTTGGGAGGTCTGGCGAAAATATGTAAATAGATGCTGTGAATCGACACAATGTATTGCAGAGGATGGTTTCAATCCGGCAGATTCGTGGTAAATCAAAACAGGCCTGCCTCGCAACTGCCTTGGGGACATGTTTTGAAGAAAGCTTATAGATATTGCCCAGGGTTTTCCATGAGTCTATAGCGATGTTGTAAATATTTGGATGCATTTTCCTACCCTCCCTAGAACGTCTTCTTTGCAATTTTTTGCCGCCAACTTCGGCGACCGACTTCACTAAACTCCTAAATGATTTTACCCCCTACCGACTTCACTAAACTTCCTACCCCCAACCTCTCTAAATAGTGACGTCCGTAATTATCATTGTTGTGCAGTTTGATGATACAGCCGCTACAACGATACTCAAAAATACTGTCAAGTTTTACAAAGAATTACATATACTATTTGAAAATTCTCTAGCACGTCCTGTTAGTAATTGACTAACCGCTCTCCCCTCATTTGAAGGTATTACCCCGTACGCCATATGGATCGGCGTGCTTCCGAACTCTTGTGCTTTTCTTCGCATTCCCAATACTTTGAAGGAAAATTGGAAGATATTTGGAGCGCCATTTTGACCCTTGCCCCCCTGCGATCTTATCCCAAGTACGCCATTGGTGCTCTCTTCCTAAACATTTCTACCTATTTTCCTGGCGACAGTTAGGGTCTTCAATATTTTCGCTGTGAAAGTCAATGCTACGGTAAATCTATTCTCCAACTGAAAAGTCCTGTTACAGTTTCAGTTAAATTGAAAAACCCCTCAAGCTCTTAGTTTGCAATTGAAGAATTATATCAGAATTGCCCTGAAGCTTGGAGAAAAATAACCTGTACGGTGACAAAAAAATGACATTGCAGTAGTAGTTTTCGACTTCTATTGACTTGAATCCATTGGTACAATTCAGGAGATATTTTAGAATTATTCCATTTGCTACGTGAATTAAATTTCCTAGTTGCCAGATTACATACTTTAATTTTCATTTGGCAGTTTGTTTTTTAACAGAAAGAGTTTTTGTCTAGTGAATTTACAAACTCATCGTAAATGGGTTGTTCTCCGGGAAGACAAATGACTGCATAAATATATCGTTTGTGTTTATGCGCTTGTGAGAATACAAGTCACCTATTTCATGATAAACATTTTGAAAATCTATAAAGATCAGAAATCTTGCTTCACAAAAAGATTTCATGTACCTATGAAGTAAAATGAGGTTGCATGCTGCAACTTTGAGAGCACGATGCTCATTTCTCTGGTATAAAACACCATACTCTGTACATTAGTCAATCAGAATTGCACAGAGTATCAAAAGACTTGAAATAATTGCTCATAATTTTGCGAATGGCGCTCGTGAGTTGAACATGTGTATAACATGTGTTTGTAAAGTGCAGCTGCAGATGCCAAATGTGCATTGACAATGGTAAAACGTTCATCACGCTTCGATTTACAGGAAAAGTTTTTCGAGACTTGGAGAAAAACCCCTTCATGGTTTGAAGATCATTACATCTTATCAAAATCTTAAGCATTTGTATAAACTGGCATGATATCTGTTAAGACAACATACTTAACAAAATCGAAGTTTTAATTCGCAAATGCAGACATTTGACGTTCTTCAACTGATATGAAAAACAAACTGACTGTAAAGCAATGAATGACTTACCGATGTTTTTGCTCATTTAACAACTTTCTCTTATTTGTAACATTTCATACAACAGGCCTTTTCGAACACTAGTTCACGAATGAAATGCCCATCCTTCTCGTTAATTAATAATGAAATGGAATATAACTCAGAATCTAAGCAGAAATTCTCGAAAATATTTGATGAAATCTTTTTGATGAAAGGAATTATAACAGTTTGAGTCCTAAAGCTGAATGTGTTTTATCTGCTTTTTCATTGTGGTTGTCCGACAACTGCAGCTGTTTCAGCTTTGATTTGGGTCAATCATCGTTCAAGAGCTTTGCCTAGTTTGTGTCGAGAATGGCCAGTTTCCCAAATCTGTAAAACATTTTTACGTTTTTTTCAACTGTAATATAAAGTGCGCTGCATGTGTTGTCTCCAGGTTGTATCTTATTTTGTGAGGCTTGAGAATGGAGGCATGAAAAACAGTTAATACCCGAGGCCTGCGTTTTCAAAGCTCTAAGTGGCGTGACGAATAGGGGCGTAACAAACCTTTTTGAGGCTCTTAATTAATAGAATAGTTGGATCCACAAAAACCTAAAGCAATATTTGTAGCCAAAGTACCGTCTAGATAGATATAAAGTTGTTTTTACTTCTTTTGCATTTTTGATTAAAAACATGCAAACATTTCTAACGTGAGGAATAAGTCAAGGCCTAAAAGTTTAAAAATCCTAAGTTGCAGCAAAATGTTTTGAACACTCTATCAAGCTGTACATTGTTTAACATGGCTTGAACAGAATCATTATAATCAAGACCAAGATGCAACGGTGCACTAAAACACTAGTGCAAATTAAAGCACATCCATCAGTGTCTCAAAAACGAACAAACTACTTTGCAATTCAACTATCAACAAAATACAAAGCAACATCAACATACAGGGAGTCTAGTCCTTTACATCACACGGTACTTCTTTTTACTTTAAGCGTCACAGTTTCTAAACACCCAGACAAGTAAATGATATTTAAGCCAAGGTTATATTCAAGACCTAGAGGCAAAATCCAGTTGTTGAAGGTAGCGCCTACATTACCAACAATCGTTCCCTATTTCTCCATCAATATCATTAGATAATTCACTGCTGTTACTTCCAGCCGATCCCTACCTTTGTGCCGATCCACATGCTCGCTAGAACTCTACATACTGCGGTAAAGGAATTCCGAAAGAGGTGGGCATAGAGTGGAGCATCTTCTGGTCTTGTGACATTTTTCGCTCAAAAGCAATGCCAATCAATAACCAATAATTGCCACAATAAGCCAAATAATAAATTACTTTAATAGTCTTTTAGTATTTTAGTCATCAGTCTTTAAAGGTTTAGTCCTTCTCCAGCAACGATTTTAATTTTCAATCATTTTCCAAGAATGGTATCCCATTCCTGTCATCACATTTATTAAATAGTTCTGTTAACGGGAATATCTCCAGGTAGGTAGAGTGCTCGATAATTAGTCTGATTCCAAAAAATTGCTTTGGAAAATTAGCTACATATTAAAACTTTTCTAACATATAAAATACTGATCCACGTAATCAATACCGATTAACCACAATCAGAAGACTGAGGAACATGACTTGTGTTGTACAAAGTTTGTTGTCCTTCATACAGGGATTGCCTTCTGGGGTATTCATTAGAGTTCTGTGCCCCTCTTGAATTAATTGTAGAATATTGCATTTAAAGCATTGCGAGGTTTGGTTTGGCAACAGTACTGCTGTTGCCTTCAAATAAGTTGTTGTTATAAAGCTGCTTTCGAATCGATTAGGCCGTGACAAAATGAGACGAGTTTCATCTATCATTTTTCTTTTCGTTTATCTACATATCTTAAAATTGCAGTTTGCTTATATCTTGTTTTGAGGGTTTACCTAACTTTATAATTAACACTATTCTAATACCATATTTTCGTTTACAAAACTTTGTAAGCAAGCTCTTAATGATATTATAGTATCTTTGTGCGTTACTAATTTTTAATGAAAAAAACTTTTAGTAGAAAATCATTCTTGATGCTGAAGCCAAGGTACATTTTCCGGGGTTTGCTTTTTTCTATGCGTTTTCGTCACTTATTTCAAGCACTTGAATTTGAGTTCATTACATGGTAAGAACACTACACATAGAATGACTACGTGTGTTAGAAATGGAGAGAGTGTGGATTGAAAATTATTTTTATCAACTGTTGAATCAGACAGTGGAGGGTGGGGGCATGACACCCACTTGGAGAATAACTCTGCTTAGCCGCCAAATTTTAGAATTGTCTGCAAACAGAATGGCTCACCCAGTTTGTGTGCGAATGGGACTTGACCACGCCCTTTGAGCCTTTAGCTCCCTGCGAAGGAGCATTCAACTCAATGAGTCTGACTCCACCAAGGCTAGTCAGCCATTAGTGGAACTTCCTGATTGAGGGCGGCGAACTGAAAGAAAAACTTCATTTATACAGCAGAGATGGCAGCAACCTTGAAACCTTACTTAAATGCAGTAAGGTCGACTCTTACAGCTGCGATGTGTCTGGAGAATTTTTCCTCGCAAATCGTCGAACGTCATAACAAGCCTGAGATCGAAGTTAAGAGCAGCAAGGAATTGCTGTTGACACCACTATGTGTTGCCAGGAATGAAAAGGAACGAGTTTTGATCGAGGGTTCCGTCAACTCGGTTCGAGTAAGCATTGCTGTCAAACAGGCTGATGAAATTGAGAGGATTCTGTGTCATAAGTTCATGCGATTCATGATGTTGAGAGCTGAGAATTTCTTTATCTTGCGCAGAAAACCAATTGAAGGCTACGACATAAGCTTTCTCATAACTAATTTCCACACCGAGCAAATGTACAAGAATAAGCTTGTCGATTTTGTAATACAGTTCATGGAAGAGATCGACAAAGAGATCAGCGAGATGAAGTTGTCAGTTAATGCAAGAGCAAGAATATGCGCAGAGGAGTTTCTCAAAAAATTTTGAAGGGACAAGTTGTCAATATTCTCCGTAGAACAAATCTGAACAGATACCAACTTCATCACATTTTATAATTTTAAACAAATATTGAGTATCCTTTTTCAATAAGATATTGGAAACATCAGACAATGGTATTTTCTGCCCATTAGTTGTTTAAAAATAAACTGGAAATACAAGTTTTTCAATCTACAATCCAGTCACCTTTTTCTTCTTGTGAAAACCTTTTCTAATGAAATGATCAGTTTTGATGGATCATGACGGCCTGAACTGAAAAGTGCTCCAAGAAGAAATATCCAAGATCATGACAGTCACAGGAATTTGGCATGCCTGGCCTGGAAATGTTTTGCATTTGTCAGAGTGGTGTTAGGGAGCAATTTAAGTTCTAATTACCTGTCCAAAACTCCTATTGCTATGTTTGCTCATTTTGTTTTTCTTAGTAAAAGGGCAAATTCATCATGCAGCTGAGTTGTCTGGTGCTCTTCACATTTCAAATATATTCAAATGAATTGTTTAGCGCACATTCCATCTGCACATGAAGAAATTCCAACCAATTTTCTGCATTGCACATTTGTAGTATATCTCCTGGCACACAACTGCTTGCTACCCAAATTGCCACACATGCCAGTCTAGGTGTTGCCAGCTGCCCACAATTCCCAGTTTATGTTACCAATCCTTCAGGTGGGGCAAACAAGGGCCAATCACCATTAAAAAGAGAGTGAATATTATTGAATGACTTGCAGTCATCAGCTCATTTAGTCAGGGGGCTGTGGCTTAATTCCTCCAACACCTGTAATATGTTGTGCATTGTTGGCTAATTGGAGGTTGAATTACAACAATTTGATGAAATTTTTGAAACAATTGGCAGTTCTTACTTTGATCCTAGCAGTGCCAATAACTGCAAGCCTTCTTTTGACCAAAATACGGAGGCTTTATTTTTGGTGATGTTTAAAAAAGAATTTTGTTTTTGAATAATATTAAATTTTCAATTCCATGTGCCAAGCCTCCTTTGCATGTTGTATCATTTGATGTAAGGTTACTCTTACACTTTATATGGAAAATTAATATGGACGGTGGTCAGGAGTATTATCTTCCATTGCTACTTTTTTATGAGTAAGAATTGGTATGGTCCTTTTTCATCATTTTTATATAGAGAAATAGTCATTATACTCAGAGTCAAACAAAGCTGTACCTAGAAGCCAATGTGACCACCTTGCAGTTTGTGAGGCCATGATGTGATTCTATTTTTTCTATATCCAATCCTTCAGGTGGGGCAAACAATTCAAAAACTGATGGTAGTTATTGGCTATTCTTTAATGTTTTTGGTGGAGAAACTTTTTTAGAATCAAGAAAATACTTTTAGAATGAAACTGAATTTTGTTAATTAACCATGGTCCTTGTTTGAGCTACAGAGGAATTTACAAATCTAGATTAAATAAACTGCCGTTGTATTTATAATAGTTTTTGCCCCTCTTGTGTCATGGCATGGCAAACTCTGAGATGGTTAATTAAAGCCATTTCTTCCTAGAAATGTGCAAGTGTAAATGTTGAGGTAGGGGATAATCACCTCCCCCTGTCATAACCACTGTGAAAACATCATCAATAAAGGCCAAATTGCTTCTTCTGAATGCAAATTCTGTGTAGCTTCACACATCATCTAACTGTTTTCACTGAAGAGGTGAAGCCTTCGTTCTTTACAAAAATGTAGAGCAGAAAGAAATATCTCCAGCGCGTGATGGGCAATGAACCCCCAGCTATTCCAATGTGTACTTTTCTGATTACCGCTTACTTTCCATTTGTGCAATCAGCCTCGTTTTCAATAAGAGGTTCAATAGTTTGAATGCATGCAGAGTTAAAGTTGTAGTGATTCTCAGAAATTGAACAAAGTGAGTGATCGTATCTAGCCATTCTTATAAACCTGAGCATGTTTTTGTTAATTTTAAGCAATTAGCAGTCCAACAAAAATATAAAACTTTAGGCTAGGTAAGATTTAAATTCTATCATCTTATCATGATAAATGACTGTGCAATTTACATCGGCCTAGTAATGATTCTTTTTACTTCACTTTTTAATCTCTATTCTATGATTAACTTTCTAAATATTTTGATATTATTTCCAATTTTGATGTTTGTTAATAAGAAATATCTTGCAATGTTAACTTGTTTGTTACATTTTATGCAAATTAATCGTTCCATGCTTTAGGTGTTTTGCTGGAGAAAGAATTCCATGAAATGAGTTCTACAAATTCTTTAAAGGACGATCCCCTTGAAATTCTGAAAAGGAATCTGGCAGAAGCAAAGAGATTGAACGTAAGGATTATAATTCAGTCAATTTAATGATAGTTTTTTGATAAAAGAAATTTCAGGGATAAACATTTTTGACAATACATCTCATTTGCCATCTGACTGCTTGCTTTTGATCTTCTAGGACACAAAACTTGCAAACAAAATACGACAAGACATCTGGGTGTTAAGAGATACATCATCTGGCCACAGGTTGTAGAAGATTGGTAAATGTTCAATTATCATATCAAGGACCATGCTATCTATGCTCAAGTCTGTAGAGTGTGGCAATTCTTGACAAGATTTCACACATGTATAGTCAGGATTTCCTCAACCATGTTTCTGCCCTACTCTCAAGTCTGGGCTGTGCTCTACACCTAATTGCAAAGTGAAAGTGTATATTTTTTAACCACACCTCAATCAGATTTTCTTTGAATGTACTTTTTCAAGGACCTAGGGGTATGTCAAAAATCAAGGCTAAGATTTTTTGCAATATTTTTCACAGGGACAAAACTATTATATTACCTTGATTATGTCCCTGGCATCAATAACTAACGTTGTTTTCACAAGGTGGCATTCACTTCACATATGTCACTTGGTTTGAGAGCAAACTAATTTGCTAATGCCTGACAGGTAAAAGCAAGCTGATTTTTGGTAATAACATACTTTGCTGTTTTAGCAAAGTTGGGCTTTGATAACTATTATATTTCAAACGAAGAAAATCACGAGAAGATGAATCAGAGAAAATTGTCTCCCAAATTTTGTAATATCAAAAAACCCTCCATGTCTACAACATTAAGTGGACCTCCAAATAAATAAATTTTATAAAATTTTCAGAGCACTGTTTCAAATATTTTAGCCATTTAATTTTTTGTAAATTTTAAAAAATAAAGTTTGTATCTTGCCCTGCAAGATTTTAGTGAAACCCTTCAAGTTTAAATTTATTTCTTATCATTCTAGCCCTGCTATTTCATCCGATGAGGTTACAGAATCTCTTGGTAGAATAGCTGTTGCTTGCAAGAAAGGAGAACCCCCTAAAAAAGAAGCAGAAAGAACTAGCTTTGTTAACCCATTTGAAAAAAGTCTTCATAAACTGGAAAAGAAATTAAAACAGATAGATGCTCTGAAAGAAAGACAGAAAAATGGAGAGAAGCTAGAAAAAACCCAGGTGGGACATTGCTTTTTTGTTTTATCTTTCATTATTTAGTGTTATGTTGTTTCATGTGTCATATCTAGATGAATACAGTCAAAGAGACAATCCCAGTGTGGTATGCCAGGTTCTTATCTGATCACCTGATTCTGATTGGAAATAACAGCACTGTTTGTGGCCTTTATGTCTAATGCATGATCATCCTGTACTTCGTCAATTAGCTATTTATTGTAGGCAAAAATCTTTTTAGATAACAAAGATTGAGTCAGAGGAAAATGTAAAACAGGAGATTGAAGAAGTGAAAAAGACTTTGGCATCAATGGCTGTCAGCAGGTAGATTGAGAGGCCATCAGGAAACACAGTGCTGGTACAGCCATCCTGTGGCCAGTTCACAAAGTTTTTTCAGGAAAGGAATTGGCAATAAATATAAAAGAATAGAGAAGCTATTTGGAAAATGACTTTAGCTTGATACTGTATTTATAAGAAGAAGATCACATTCAAGTGAAAGGGCAGTTTGCTGGACATGTTTGTTGGACAGTTGTTTCATATTGCAAATTTAACAAAATTGAGTTGTAGAGAAAAATTATTTTGTTCACCAACTAATTATGGAAATTCATTCTGTTGGCTTTGTCAGACATCATTGTTGGCTTTTTAGCTTCATTTCACTGTGAGGCTTTTTAGCTCAATATCTTTACCATACAAGGTCTTCACATATGCAGATATTCTCTCTTAAACTCCGACTTATTGATTAAAAAGATTTTCACTGTATTGTACACTACGGATGCAACAGGCAAAAAAAGCTTTGAAGATGATTGAAGACCCTGTTACCAGCATTTTTGTTTGATCTGGGTAAAATTTCATTGTCTTATAAAGGAGAAGACAAAAAGAGATGATTCATGCACAACTTCATTGTATGGGCAAAAATATAGAAAGAGCTGGTCTATTTACTTATGGCTGATATTAGTCATTTTGCTTTCACAATCAAGGTGCCAGGGCCTCAGATGATGGGGCTGAAGAAGCTAAACCCCCCCTTTTTGCAAAACAATAGAGCCAGGGACCGCACACCAGTCTAAAAGTGAGGGGCTGGAAAGGGTGTGGCTAAAAAATTTTGAGGCCACACCCTCCAGAACGCTTGAGAACGCCCCTTTTAGAAAATACTTTTTCATTTCTACTCAATTTTTATAAACAGTCTGGTTTAGAGAAGTTATCGATAACTATAAAAATAGATAAAATTAGCTTGAGAGTTACCAAGCTAACCAAGCATCATATCATTAAACACAAGATAAAACACCTAGAAAATGAACAAAAAGGTTCCCAGTCAAGAAGAGCTGCTACTACATAGAGGTAAACTACGCAAAGATGTGTTAGGTTCAACCTTCCAAAAAATTTGTAGCCTATTATTGCAAAAAAGTGGGGGCTATATCCCCTGCTAGCCCAATGGCTGCGCAATTCTTGCAAAATATTTTAGCTGCATGGCTTTTTTAGCAACAGAGGTATCCAAGAGGGATAAGTTGCAAAATATAACTGTGATGTGTTGTTGTTCTCACAATAGTGAGACATAGTAAAATTAATTCAGGAGGACAATAAAATGACTTTTGGCTCAAAAACTGTCAAGACCATTCTTAGTGATATAACATTGTGTTTTAACAAATAGAGCTGTGGTAGCTTCAATTTCCAACGGGATCCATGCCAGCTTAATTAGACACAAATTTAAGTGCCACATTTCAGTACAGTATAAGATGGTTATAACATACTTTAAGAGACCAGCAGATTTAGTGTGTTATATCCAAAGTATGTTGTAACCAGGGTAAGGAAAAAGTAAATATAACCAAGTTGTAAACAATGTAACTATAATACAAAACTTTCAACTAAATTGTTATAGGCCCAGTTGGAAGAAGTCTGAAAAGCATTTCTGAATATCCAAATTTTGTTGAATGCAGCAACAATTTTGCTCCACATCTTCAATGCTTCATCAGCATAAGACAAATCCAAAAAATCATTGTAAAACCTGGACGGCACTTGAATAAATCAAGGAGACAATATAACGTTACCATCATTTTTATCTATCACACATGGCACCTTGACACCAGATGCAACACAATAGATTCTTACCAAAGAAGACCAAAAGCAAATTTACCAAAAAAGCAAAAGGAATGAAAAATACAAATATTCATTTTCAAAATATCAATTCTTTGCAACTGCCTACAAATTAATAATAAATTAGTGCTAATCAATTTTGCTCATTTCTAGATGATTTTGATTTTAAAATAAAAGCGTAATCATACAGAAGAAAATAATCGCTATAAAGATCACCCTCACAAAGGTAAGGAAGCTTAGTGAAAGCTTTCACATGAAACCCTGCAGGCTCCAAAACATCTAAAACTAAACTGTTTATCTGGGTTTCAACAGTATCTCCATATATTGGTAATTTTTCTTCTGGCATTACAAATGTGCTGCCTAAAAAAAATTCAAAATATAACTGAAAGTCGAAAAGTATAAAAAGATATTCAACAACATGGATTAGACTTATTTTTGAGTTTGAAGATTACATCTTTTGGATAGACACCATGGGGATAATAACAAACTTCCAGAAATTTAAAAGCTTTGTATAAATTCAAGATTTAGACATCAACCTTCCATTTTATAGAAACCTAGCAGGCTAGTGAATGAATTTTATATTTAAACATTTGTGCAAAGGAAGGTGGCTGATCTAGAAATAATAAGATGTTGAGGCATTATATAATTTTTTGAGGCATCAATCTTATCTTTGGTTAGCAGCAACGAAAGGCCCACTCTGATTATCTTGTTGGTTTACTTCGCTGGATATATTGGATTTTAGGTGTTACATTGGGCAATAAGCTTTATCTATATATAGCTTTGTCGCATTTTTGCTTGTTTCAAATGCACGCTTTATTATTGCACAAACCCTTTAATATGGAGTTACCAACCAGGGAAAATGCATTTTGAACAAACCTTAAAATGAAAACAATAATTCAGAGACAACAATTTGAACTCATCTTATTTAAAAAAGAAAATACTAGCATCAATTAAAAACAAGATCATTAAGACATATATCAGCTTATATAAATTAAAGATGCTAGGGGTGGACCAGTAAATTCTTGCTACTTACCTTCTTCTACCCAAGGACTATATGGCAGAACAATGGCTAACAAGACTGTTCCATCTGGATTTAATGATGCTTGAATATTGCTTAGTAATTGTGCTGGGTTGTGGACTCTATCAAGGAGGTTAAGCACAGTAATAAAGTCATACTTCTGATTGGTCCATTCATTAACATCAACAACACTGAAATGACCAAATAAGAAATTGTCAGTATCAAGCAGGATGTGTAATAAAATAATTGTAGGAAAGTGATTATGGCTCTACATAACAGGCTTAAGTTTGGACACTAGTCATGAAAATAATATCAAATATTATTTTATAAAGATCAGATGCCAAAAGAAGCTGGTAAGCAGCCTCTGAGTCTCAGAAGGTAGAAAGAATGGTCTGAAAGCTGTAATGGCACAAAGTATTGGAAGCAGTAGTGGCATTATAGAGAGGATATAGGGTGATACAGGCCCTTTGTTGGAAGAGGCTAGCCACCCCCCCCCTCCCCCTCAATTGTAGTAGGACGCTCCCGAGATCACATGACCTTTTATAATCACGTGACAAGTACTATTTAATCCGAAGCTTTGTAAAGCGTAGTTCAGTTATCTTCGTATCCTCGTTCAGTTAAGTTATAAATCTTGAATGATTATCAAGATATGAAAATGTAAAGAGTGTGTTTCCTTGCTCTACCATCTCAATAATATAAATAGAAGCACCTCTCACATCTGGTGGATGACCCGTTTTGTCACGATCGCCGTCCCGTATGTCGCAAGAAGAAACTCTCGGACTTATCAATGGTTTGGCCGCTGTTGCTAAAGAACAAAATGCATCCAATAAGTCAAGAACCGAAGAATTGAAATCACTTGCCTCTGCCGTAAAAGATTTATCCGACCTTATAAATCTTCAGTCGCAAACTTCTTCTGGTCATGCTGCTCTTCGCCTGCCGAACCTTACACTGCCTGAATATACAGGAATTGAAGATCTTGACCGTTTTCTGGACCAGTTCAACCAGGTTCTCCGATCTTCTGGTGCAAATCCGCAGTTTTATCTAACGTACCTCAAGCAACAGTGCCGAAAGGATAGCCGTGCCTTCGATATTCTTTGCAATTATGAGAGCACTCATCTCGTCCGATTGCCTGCATCTCCGACCTCTGATGACTATTACCAGTTTTACAATGCTGCACTAATGGTTCTTCACTCCCAACGTGGAATTCCAAAAGACCAGCAAATTCGCAATCTCTTGGCCACGTATTATACCATGCGCCAACAACACCACGAAAGCGTCTCCAACTTCGCACACCGGTTTTGTGAGACCCAACATTCCTTGGAGAAACTAATTCCAGGTATTCACATGACAGCCGATGGAAATGAAATCGAGTTGATTCATGCCTTTGCCCTCAAACTACGTGAGGATATTTCGCGGGATCTTTTTGCTAGGGATTTCAACTATCCGACTTTAATGGCCCTGATTGAAGCTGCCAAACGATACGAGACCAAAACTACTTCAATCGCAGTTGACGAGCCTATTTCTACAGCCAATGCTTTACCCGTTACGCCTGTTCCTGCCTACCCAAGAAAAGCACCTGCACACAGTCAAGAAGCAACACCAAAACCTTCAGGTGAACTTTGCTTTCAATATAATAAATATCCCCGTGCCTTTTGTGAACTTTCTAATGGTAGATGTAAGAAAGGTTATATTCATAAGTGCACTAAATGTGGTCGCTTTAATTGTAAAGCTGTTCGTCATAATAGGACCAAGGCTATTTCGCATTATAATTCTGTTGAACCTAACTCACTCCATACGCATATTGCTAAGGTGGAACCGTCTGTCGATTCTGATACGACTTCTTTATTGAAATCTATCCACTCATTATTGCTCACGAGTAAAGAACATGTTGCACCGCCCAACGATGAGGCCGTCCCTCCCAAAGGGGGTTCGCAAGACAATGTTTATAGCATGCCTGCCATAAGTTTAGCTCCAGATAGTGTCACAATTTCTAATTTAGATCTTGCGAACCGTAATATTTTATGGTGTTCTGTTTCGTCAGCTGGGGTTTCTCTCCCTTTGCCTCTCGACACTTGCTGCTCAGTGTCTTTAGTTAGCAAAGCGCACGCTGATAAAGTTCTTGAAACACGCCCTGACCTCAAGTTTTCGCGCTTAGAGCAGCCCGTTAAGGTCTCTGTTGCCAGTCCCTCGGCCTCTCTTAAAGCCGTAGGTATAATGCAAGTTCCCTTGCAATTCGAAAATGGGCGTTCTGCAACTTTTTCTATGCTTGTCGTGCCAAATTTATCTTGGCCGGTACTTTTTGGCCAAAATCATTTACGCAAGACCGATGCCCGTATTAATTCTCGTGCTCTAACTGTATACTTTGCCGATAAAGGGTTAGAATTCGAAGTCAAGTGTCACGATTCTAATCCTATTCATGCATTTCCACATTTGCATTTTCCTACAAGTAGTTTTACTTCTACTGCTAATGTTACATGTTTGTTGACTGCCCTACCAACACAGCCAGGTGAACCTGTTCGCCTCCACAGGGGCTTTAATTTTGTTACTGTTTGCATGTTGCTTGCAACATCGCTGGTGGGTTCCTCCCTATTTTCGGCTTCGGGTGACCATGGCTGGAAGGTAATAAAATATTACCGGGGGTCACTACCCTTAGTGGTCCTATTTCCCTTTCTGGGTTACCGAGCATGACAAATTTGTGCACTTCTGTCATGTCCCCTTTTTTGGCTTCCAGCTACCCAAAATGTCGGCCTAGTCGCCCAGTTCGCTCTGATGTTGGTTCGCAGACAACTTGTTTACTGACGTCAATATCGCCCGTTTCAGAAACTTTAGTGGATAGTACACTGAGTAGTGAATCTTTGTACTCAACAACGGTTGTTATTCACTCTACTAAAGAGTCTGCGATTTTGCCATTAAATGTCTCGATCGGAAACATTAGGCCTGTATTGAGCACTGATACTAATGTGTTAGAAGATGCCGCAGACTTTACTGCTTCTCAGGTAGCAAACCAATGGTATTCATTAGTTTCTGCAACCCATGCCGCCCGCCGTAATATCGATGACCTCCCGACCTTAGATCCTGATAAGATCGTTAATGGCGGTCATGCTATTCACACCTCTAACTTGCAGGAAATGGCACAGGATAATCTAGCCTTTGATTCGTCTTTTCTGTCGCCGTATTTAGAATGTACCGAGCGTCATCAGGCTAATTCATTTTCTCCAATAGGAAAAAGCAATATCCAGCCGCATTCTGAGGAATATTTTGGCAAACTTTTACATGCCTTAGAACTTGACGCGCCATCGTATGCACATGTGCCGCGTAGCATTTTAACGCAATTCAAGTCCTTGTTGCATGACTTCCAACATGTTTTTCATTTGCCTGACTCACCTCTGTCTACCATTAAGGGCGTTTATCATCATATTCCTACTGGGGATTCTCCTCCTGTCTATCGCCTTCCTTATCGCAAAAGCCCCGACACAACACCGTCTGATATTTCTCCTTTAGCTACAGTCGAGCACGTAGACTCGTCACAGGAAAGTGTCACTCCAGTACACCCTGCTTCCCCAAATAAGGACTTAGCCGATGTGGCATTTCGATTAGGAACGTTTTTAGAGTGTAAACCCTCCAAGTCCGCTGTAGCATCAGAAGCATGTAAATTTCTTTACGAGTCGTTTCCACCTAGTAGAGAAATCCTAGCTAAACATGGGCGACTCCGTGGTCTTGTTAAGTCATGTCAGTTTCTACATTTAGAAGGTGCTCCACACGGGGGCATCTATGTTCTCTCATTGGATGTAGACAAATTTTCTCGTTTACGTCGTTAACATGGATATTGTCGCTTTCAGTATGTTTTTCTTAATTAACGCAAAAAAAAAAATTGTAAAAAAAATACGTATGTTGTATTTTTTTTAAATAAGAAGGGGGAGGATGTAGTAGGACGCTCCCCAGATCACATGACCTTTTATAATCACGTGACAAGTATTATTTACTCCGAAGCTTTGTAAAGCGGAGTTCAGTTATCTTCGTATCCTCGTTCAGTTAAGTTATAAATCTTGAATGATTATCAAGATATGAAAATGTAAAGAGTGTGTTTCCTTGCTCTACCATCTCAATAATATAAATAGAAGCACCTCTCACACA